TTATAGATGAAAAATAAGTATCATGGACAAATATAAAAAAAATCAGAAAAAAATGGAAAAAACGATGAAAAAAAAACAACAAAGTTAAGATAATAAAACAATTTAAAATTAATTTTCTGCAGAGTTAAATCTTTTAAATTCAAATTAGGATGAAGTGATAAACATAATGGAGAAATTAATTGAAAAGATCACAATAATAAAAAATGAGAGAGATTTGTGGAGTGAAATTAGAATGTGATAAACATGGAGGATATGGGGAGTGAGAATTATGTATCCAGAAATTGTTGTGCTCAAAATAGGGGATTTTGAATTTTTTTCAAAATAGTAGGGAATAATGAAAATTATGAAAACAAAATGTGTGTATATATATGTAATTTTTCCATAATTTTATTCTTTCTATGCATAATTTTCTTTATTGTTATCTTCGTTGCTAATATATTTTAAATTAGTTTATACTTTTCAATGTTTAGATATATTATTTGATTTGAATTTGTAAATATTTATGAATTTTTTTATTTTGTAGTCGAACAGAAGTCACAGTTACATCAGGTCGAAAATTTTAAAAATTTACTTTATAAATATTTTAATTTGTATCCAAATAACTATAGGCTTGAATCTTATCAGACTGAATATATTGATATTTCAATAAAAATATTTTGTACTCATGTAAAATTAACCGCTTAATATGAAGATGGTTTGCTAAACACATGAAAATCAAATACAATATGATGACTTTCTCTTCTAAAGGCAGGGGTGAAGACTCCATTGCGACATTAAGTAAGGAATTTGAGGAAATCAAGGCGCATCCACTTCGTCATCTCAGCCTATTTATATGCAATAGGTAGAAAAAATTCTGCCCTTCTAGCCTCGAGTAGTGAACTACACATTTAGTTAACATTTATAATTTACAAGTTCCAAACCTATGACCTAGGTAAAAGTAAAAATATATTTGATCTCCTTTTCAATCATTGTGTAATTTTAAGAAAATCGAAAGAGCTAATTAATTAAAATTGAAATAGAAGAATCAATTTTATCTTAGTGTATTTTGGTTTATAATTTTGATAAATCAACATATTAGGTTTAATTATTTTTAATGAAATACCAAATAATTCCAACCTGTGATTTTACAAAAAATATATTGTTATAATGAATTCTATTTTATGTTATAGGTAGAATGTTATTATACGAAAATAAATAATATAAAAAAAATATTACTTTTTGAAGAAAATCAGTTCATTATAAAAAAAATTACCTTAAAAAATAATCGACCCTCATAGAAAGATTTAAAGAAAGAGATAAATAAATTAAAATAACTTTAATCAAGTGAGTTAACTAAAATAAATAAACAAATATGACATATGAAATGAACACATGGAAGTAGTGTAATGTTTTTGTTCTTATATAAACACCAAAACAATTTCAGTTACTTCACTCTTTTGGCTCTTTCCGTCTAAGTGTGAAATGCACTGAGCTAAGCTACCTCTTCAATTTCTTCTACTCTCATTCTCACCGATTCAATCCACATTTTTCATACTTGTTGCTGAGGAGACGCAATTTCAGTATGGACGGAGGTGATACTTATCAAACGGTGAAAGACGATTCCGGCGACATCGCCGGCGGTGGTGAAACGGTCACCATAAACATCCGATGTGTCAACGACTCCAAGTTATCTGTTCAAGTCAGCCTCGATTCCACCGTCGGATTATTCAAGTCCATCCTTTCCCAGCCGACTGATATCTCTGCTGAGGAGCAGAAAGTTATCTATAACGGCCGGATCTTAAAGGATGATCAAACCCTAAAAAGTTGTGGTAATAATTAATTTTTCTTATCTAAATATTTTTTTGATACTCTATTAGTAATGCTGAATTATTTGTGTTTACTTTTTATACTCATGTTGCTGATCAATCAATCAAATGTACCTCAATTACGAACTTGTTAGGGTTTGTGATATTAATGTTGTAAACATTGTTAAAAAAAATTATTTAAAAGAATATTTGTATGTTTTGTAACTTGTATGTTATATAGAGGTGCATGTTATATATCTGAAAGTTCATTTTTTTTTGGGCTTTAACTACTGAATGTAGAGAAATGTACTTCGGTTGGCTTGGGATTGTATGCTAATGCATTTTCCTGTTTTGAGGAGTAATTTGAATTATTTGTTCATTGTGGAAAATAATGCATTGAGAACTGTTTTAACAAGAAAAAGAAATAATGCATATAGAAGTTGTTTCCTGAAATGGAGGAGAATCTGGTTTTAGAAAATAATTCATTGGAACTATTAGTGGGTGTTGAGATTGTGGATATTCTTAGAATGTAGAAGTATCTTCTTTGACGGTTGTGAAGGAGATATCCTGCAATTGAAGGGACTAGTAATTTTTGAAAGCTTACATTCGACTCCTACATACAATACTTGACGTCATGAGCTCATTCGCTCCATCTTGATAGGTAGGATTACGTTGACAAAATATTCCTTAATTTCTCGATTTAGAAGTGCAAATTTAATCTCTGTGTGCAAATTTAACCTCTTTGTTTGTGTTCTTTCCAGAATAGATGAAAATAATCGATAAGTTGTGTGTTAATGCATTAGGACCAAATTTTGATTCTAATAGATTTAAAGTCTTGCTTATTTGTTACAATATGCTCCCTAATCTGGCATGTTTTGTCTTGAGATAAGAAATAGGTAAAGGTCAATACGTGGAAAAAAGTAATATAGAGGAATGATGCAGTGGTATTGGGGTTTATTTTGCTTTTATTAGAGTATGAAGCTGTGTACGTGGATCTGCAATAGTAGGGAATCTGCATATTTGTTGCAGTTCAGTTTCCATTTTACTACGTAGATTTGATTTAGCATGTATTCTCCTGTCTTTAACATGATGCTACTTAATGCCAATTATGTTGATCTGATTCATGATTGATTACTTATAACCACATAACATTCTGCATTGAGCTTTGGAATCTTATACTATCAAGATGCATGGAGTTTCTATTTTATCTGCTCTCTTGTTGCTTGTTATTAGCTGTCAGAATAAGAATCATAGTATATTTAATTTTAATATTTGTGGCGAGCAGGTCTGGAGGCAGACCACACAGTTCATCTTATTCGAGGTTCTGCCGCAGCTGCTTCTGCTAGTGCAACAAATGTTGTAAATCCAAATGCTAATCAGGATGCTCCAAGGGTTGCTGTTCCCACTACAGGGGGGTTGTTTGTCAGAGTCGGATTGTTTTAGAGAGATTGTCAAAGATTCACCAAGAGGTCACAGGCTAATCAATTGAGTTTATAAATGTAGTGTCTCTATGTGTTGAAACTGTAGATGCGGTCTTAGTGGCTTAGTGTAACCATTCTCATTAGTGGTCGTACTGATTACTGAAATGGCACTAAATATTAATGCTGGGCATCAGTAGGGAAAAAGAATAAAAACATTTACTATGAAAAACAAAGGGGAAAATAGCTACAGAAAAAATCAAACAAAAAAATATTGTCTATTTGTTATTCGTTTTTCTTATTGGACACCATTGAACTACTTTCAACCCTTCCAATTACTTTTTTAGATTCATTTTCTTACTAGTATAAATAAGCTAAGCTCCGACAATGTTAATTTATCAAAAATAAACTTTACAGATTTTAGTGTCAAGTATGACATGATAGACATTGTCCTTCAGATTTTATTATTTCAATACAGAACTATACTTCAGATTTTATTATTTATGTGTCTACTGTCACGACCCGCCTGATACCCAGGTAGATCGCGACCCGTCTAGGCAGCCAGCAGCCTGTGCAAGGAGACAGATAGCCCAAAACGGCCAGTAGGCAGAGGGTCAGACGTCCAAGCAGGCAGCAGACAAAGAGTCAGGCGTTTCAGCCGTTACAGGCAGTTTCAGTAGTTACAGCCGTTTCATCAGTTACGGCCGTTTTAGCAGTTACAGCATGTGGGGAGGCGGCAGGTTCCAGCCTTGGAGAGGCTTGTGCAGGGCCTCTGGAACGTGGGGCAAACTAGGGAGCAGCTAGGAGTTCTTTTTGGAAGACTTAGAAGCATGTCTTGAGGGCATGGACTTAGGGGCTTGTATATAGTGTAGCATTTATTTTTTGTTTGTGTTTAGAGTAGTATAAATAGGTAGTCATTGTATTTGTAATACATCCACCAACATATGAATACAAGTCTTTCTTCCAAACTCTGCCTTTGTATCTCTTTCTTATTTCTCTTAGCGATCCAAAATTGTGAGAGACTTACTTGAGTTTGCGAGATACGTGAAAGAATCGTGAGCAAACCGTCAAGTGCCGCACGGAGTCTTGTCTGAATTGAAAAGGCCGTGACAAGGGGAAAATAGCAACAGAAAAAATCAAACAAAAAAATATTGTCTATTTGTTATTCGTTTCTCTTATTGGACACCATTGAACTACTTTCAACCCTTGCAATTACTTTTTTAGATTCATTTTCTTACTAATCTAAATAAGCTAAGCTCCGACAATGTTAATTTATCAAAAAAAAACTTTACAGATTTTAGTGTCAAGTATGACATGATAGACATTGTCCTTCAGATTTTATTATTTCAATACAGAACTATACTTCAGATTTTATTATTTATATGTCTACAGACTTTATTGTTCATTGAAACTATTTTCATCATCATTTCATTAAATATTAGAATATTAATATGACTATTTATTTCTCTTGAACATGATGTATGTTTTTATGTCAGATTACTGTTAAGTGTCACTGACATGTTTTCTAATCACAATATAAGACATTCCGGATTGAACATTTTTCATCTATATAATTTAAAAGTCATTATGTTGCCCATTTAGAGGTACCAAGGGTTTAAAAGAGAATCATTTTGATATGTGTCTGGAAATAATTGTTTTTTTAAAAAAATAAATTGCATTTTGTTCATCTTCAACAAAAAGACGCGTGATTTTATTCATATGTTTCTGGACATAGAGAATGATGTGTGCATAATTCTTCAGGTATGTTCTTCCATCATTCCTTTCTATTTTTTTACAATCGTTCTTTTTCCTTTTAGGAATATCTGGTACAACAAGGGCTATTTCCTTACCTTGATCAGCCGCAATCAAACCAGTAAGTATGGACATATATCTATGGATTTTCACTTGGCTAGAGAATCTCACAACTCCTGATTCAGCTGATATGATGAGATGCATCTCCTTGTCTCATTATTACTCATTGTTTCTTGTCCTACAAGTCACCAAAGGAAAAATAAATATTACTTAGATTCATATTTCACTTGCCAAAAAATAGTCTAAGCCTTTCTAATTAGGTTGGATAAAAGATAAACTTGTGAGTGGCTCGAGATTTTTACTCTGATTATTACGGGGTAATTTTCTGCCTTGCGTCTATCACTTCTGACAAAGTATCTTTTCCGCATGAAGAGAACAAGATCAGGACGAAGCTGACGAAACAGGTAATATCATTCTATATATTTCCCAATTTGATATCCTTGTAACTGTAAATATACCCTTAGGTTTGGAGGGAATGATCTCTTGATTTAGGAGCAAATAAATCCTCTTACAATATTTTACAAATGTTACTTAAGTCTAGTATTTTAATGCAAAACTAGCCTATAAGGAGCAATACACTTAATATTTTTGTGATGCACATTATTTGTGATGTTTCATATAAATGGACAACTTCTTTGTATTGTTACATGGTATATGAAATTTGAGATTTTACAAGGGCGACAGAACTGATTTGGATTTATACCTGTTAGGAGTTTATTTTTTTGTTAAAAATATTGATTGAAATTTATAGGTTGAGAATGCGGGTTTGGTGGGAATATAGAAGACACAAATTCAGAGAAAATATATAAATGTCAGAAATGAACTGTACAAAAGAGTGATATTAGTATGATGAATGCTTATTTTAGATGATACTCTTTAATTGGTGAAATTAGCGAGAAAGTCAACTGAGGTTGGAACAGTTGGAACTGTGACGAAGAACTCTGGTTTTAGCCTTTTATTTAGGTTAATTAGAAATAAAACAAACTACCTATAAAAAGTAGAAATTTGACAAACTATGTTCACTGCAAGTTATAATAAGATCACTCGAATGAGATCACTAGATGAGATAGTGGTGCCCAAATGTAGAGAGTGGAAATATTTGCTCTCATATTTGAGGAGAATGATATGATTGATGAAGATGTGACACAATCTAAAAGAGGATTGTGGAAACGGAGGAGTGCTAAGACAGTTGTGTTATACGTGAACGCTTAAACACAAGTTGTATGCAACGGCAGCGAGATCAGAGGTGTTATATGGGAGTGATTGCGAGTAATGTAAATCCATGTGTATCCACAAGATAAATTTCCTAAAAATTGTGTGGATATATAGCCATATGGGGTCATTAAGATTAGAATTATTACATCTGACCTAAAAAAACACATGATAAGATGAGAGTCTGGCTTTCTATGTCCTATATAGACCTCCACATGCATTGGTCAGTATGTGCGAAAACATGATGATTGAAGGTGATAAAAGAAGAGAGGGATAGAAAGTTGTATTTGAGAGACTTGTAGATCTCGACATCAATATGAATTTAATGTCAGATCATAATACAATAGAAGCAAAGAATCTATACATGAGTTACTCTTTTATCAGGTCAAGTCTTTGGTAGGAATCTCTTTTTGTTGTTGGATACTTGTTTGTTCGACTAATGGGATTTAGAGAAAGTCTAGTTCTAGGCAAAAATCTTAGTGTTTATTTTTTAGAGTTAGGGAATCTAATAATTGTGGGTGATTTTAACTCACATCAACTGTGGGTGACTTTAATAATTGCAGAATATCAGAACGGGGCAATGGAAGTGGCGAGGAACGTGGTTGATAGTACTCTAGAGAGGGCAAGTTTGCATGAATTCCCCGGATTAAATAATTGTTAGTTTATTCTCGTCTTTCTCATTCTCTCTCTATATATCTCGGACTTAACTCGGATGCTCATATTCCTGTTGACATCTTATTGCAGTAGGCCCAGAGGAATTATATGGTATGCTGTTTCTCCAGGTCGTTAGACTACATCGGATTTTCTGACAGTGAAGAAGCACTTATTGCCGTGGAGGAACTTGAAGAATACAGTGGAGAGTAGTGTATGTATATTCTCTTTTTATGACTATATATATATAGAGGGAGAGAGATCCAGATGAAATTGTTGATGTAGAGAGAAGAAAAGGAGATTGGTGGAGGAACTAGTTCTTCAGTTCATTGTACATGCTATGTTAAATTGTTCATTATCATATGATTTTATTGCCTACTTTCCTGTAGCATTTTGTTTTTGCTTTGCTAGGTGGATTCAATTTGATCATAGAGTTTTCATGCAATGACTATGCTTCGAAAAAGGGTCAAAAATACCTCTAACCTACCCAAAAAACCTCACAAACATTTTTATCTAAAAATACTGTCAATTACTCATTATTTTTGGTGCAAATATACTCCTCTTTCCCTCCCCCCCCCATTTGATTAAAAAATACCTTTATAATATTAATAATGTTGTATCTAGAATTCAGTAATTTTCCTTCAACAATCTATATATCCATAGTCCAAATCCTCAATTTTCCTATTAATCAAAAGTGATAAAAAGATTTACATAACCTTTTAATTCTTAGATTGTTATTAATATTAAATATGTCTTGTTTTAAAAACCTGGTTAATTTTGATTCTTATATTTCATAATTGTGGCCGGTAATTGCATTATTACAGTTGATATTTGGTTGCATAGGATTTCTAAGAAATTGTAGGTACTTGATGATACATAAGGAGGTGAACCTTCACTAATACTAATTAGTCTAATTAAGAATTGGAGGCACAAAATATCGAGCAAAATATCACTTAGCTTCTATAATATAGAGCTATGTATGTACTCTTGTTTTGTATCTCTAATTTTTGTTGTTGTGATTGAATAAGTTTAAACCTACTCTACATAAAACATCTCATCTCGCGCACTTGCCTCTCAAAACATTGTGTTCAATTCCGTCCATAATAATTTTATTTGGACTTTGTTGGAACATTGTTACTTTTTGAATTGTATTATAAATATGATCAGCTACCAAAATATACACTTTATGAATCTTAAACATCAAAACGGATTCTCTCTAAAAACATACATCAAAACGGACGTTTGCCCATTATGAGCTAACTATAACTGTGATCCTTTAACACATTCATTCTCATTAACCCTCACTCACTTCATCCAAAATAATATATTATGTCAACTTTAAAAGTAGTCCGCGCTCTACAATTCTTTTTATATCTTTCTCAATTTTAAATGCATTATGAAGTTTTTTCAATACATAAAATCATGAGTGTTTTTTTCAATAATAAAAATATGAAAAAACTTGAGCATTTGTTTTCATAAAATAAAATTTTCTATTATTTGCTTGCAGCAGTAGTAATAAACTAATAATACTAATAGTTATAGTATTTTCAAAAAATAAATGTTGCGGTTCATTCAAATACGGGCGTACTCTATTATATTTTTTTAGGATAATTAAAACCAACTAAATAAGGCAAAACGACTTCATTTTTTTTAATGAGAATATGCTTTATCCCCACAAAAAATAATCGCATTCACTATTTTTCTGAACTAATAAAACAAGAAAACCTGAACAACATAATATGTTTTGTACCTTTGAAAGTGCACAACTCCAAAACTTATGGCCATAATTTCTTGGAGTCCTTAATGTTTTCATTTTGCAAAATACTCTTTGCTTTTACAAATATCTAATCCAATTGAATATCTAGACTTTTCGAATTATTAAAATATAAATGTTAAATTTAAAAAAATTAAACTATATATATAGTATAAAAAAGTAAAAGCTGAATGAGAAAATGTGGAGCAAATAATACATATTTATTATTGAAGAAAGGAATAAAACTTCACATGAGGAAGAAAAATATGTAGGTTAAAGTAAGGAAATAATATAAAGAAATTATAGTTCCCCTATTTAAAGTTTGTGAATATTTTTTTGCATGGATCCGGAGTTAACAAGGATGATCAATATTAAAGATGGTAGTTATAGCTCGTCCATTTATGAATGTATTGTCCATTTTGGTGTGTGTTATAAGAGTTTCTTTTGATGTTTAGAGTTCAAGAAATGTTAATTTTAATGCTGGACTTGCTACATGCATGCATGCTATCCTTAGAGAAATATGATAAGCTGTATTCTCAAATGATCAATGAGTGTGGATTGAGAATTTTGTTGTGGTCTAATGATTACTAAATTAAGTGGGCCGAGAATTACAATATCTTAATTTAAAATACAATAAAAGTAAAAATAATAGGTTATTTTTCCCTAATTGTCCCTAATATTGATGGGGGGAAAATACATAATATCATATTGTTGATGGAAGATAATAAATATCCTATAAAATTAATCAACATAATCAAATACTACGATATAAAAACAATATACATTTTTCTAAATTGCAGGCTTTAGGACAAGGCATGAAATATGAATCCTTAAAAGAAACAATTTAGGACAAGAAATAAATCTTTAAAAGAACAATTTAATACAAGAAATAAATCCTTAAAAAAAATTAGGACAACAATAAATCCTTAAAATATCAATTTTGGACAAGAAGTAAATCCTTACAACAAAATTTAGGACAAAATATAAATCCTTAAAAAATTCCATTTGACAAAATATCTTAACATCAACATTGTATCAAAACTTTATTTGATTATGCTATCAATTTAATTAATAAGGAATCCTTTCCAATAGTTTCGAAAAGTAAGCACTTATAAAATTATTATTAAACTTATTAATGTCCAAAGGAATTGTCATTACTATTTTAATTTGTTACACATATTCTAACAAGTGAAAACTCTCAATTTTTTCTTATATGTATTATTTTATTTTCTTTCAGTATAAATTAAACATGAGTTATTGACAAAATGTAAAACAATAAAAATGGATGCTTATTCTTTTTAGGGATCTATAAGCAATGAATTACCAAAATATTATCTTAGCTACGAAAAATGCAACAGCATTCAACTATTTACTGTTAATTTTCTATTTTAATTTTCGACTTTCAATTTTTTTTATTTAAGGTGAGGTCCTTTGTAAGTTGATACTATATCACTTTGTATTTATTCACCTCCTTCCGGTTCTTGTTTGGCTTATATCTTTACCTCTTCAAACTTTTGTTATAATCAACTTCTTACGCTTCCCTACTAACGCATTCACACATTTCCTTCTCATATTTTCGAACCATCTCAATGTTGCGTCTTTATCTTATGTGTCATGGAATCACTTCCACCTTTTCATATATAAACTCCGTTTCTAATCATTTCTCTTAGTATGTCAATATATATCTACCTAGTCGTCCTCATCTCCGCTAGCTACATTCATCTTTTGCATGTGTTTGTCTTTATTGGACAACACTCTGCCTCTTATAACAAGAATGTTAGTCTAATTAGCCCCAGCACACCACTATAGGAAGTAATGATTGCTATAGGAAGTACCAAGAATGGTCAAATATACCATTTGTAAAACTCTCAATTGAAATATACACCTTTTATTATACTTTGATACATATACATGTCCCTATTTTTAACGGAGGAACACATATCAATTTAAGAACAAATAACTCACTTTAATTTTAAATATTCATTTCCTTTAAAATTCACTTATTTTACTCATTTCCTCAGTTGACCCACCTTTAAACAATCTCAATTTCATAACTCGTCTTCTCTATCTAAAACTTTTATTAAAATTAGTCCTAAACCACTATAAAAGTTTAATGTGAAACTTCAATGTAATTTTATTCACGCAAAAGGATTAAAATTGCTTCTAAACTATTTGAAATAGATTATTTATACCCTTCGTAACATTTTGAGATAAAAAATGCCACTACTATTATCCTAAGAGACCACAAATACCCTCGAGAGTTAACACACCAAATCTTTATTGACGTGTCAAGTCATGTGGGACTAACCTTCCACCTAAGTGTTGTCAACTAGGATTTACTACAAAAGAACTAGACCTTTAGCGGCGACAATAGTCGCCATAAAAGCCCAGAAAATCTTCACATAAAGTTCTTAACATTAAATTCTAATTTTGTGTTTTTTTCATTATTTTTTAAAAAACAAAATCGATTAAGTTGGAGTTTGAAGACACTGTATGTTTTGTTTTTATGTCATATGTAAATGTATAAAATGTACAATGATGCATTCTATAGTAGGAGATGAAATTGAGAAGTAATTTTGATGATTTTTCGTAATTATATTGGATGTTTTTAATATTGATATTGCAAATTATTTATTTTTAGAAAACAATTGAAAATTAATTATCATATTTTTTTGTTAAAAAAATGGTTTTACTAGCGAATGATTGTTGAAGTCTTAGTCGCCACTAAAAATCACTCATAACCTTTAGTATCAATTTTTTGAGATTTTGTGACGACAAAGGTAAAGTTCTTTTAGTGAATTTTAGTTGGCAACGCTTAGGTGGAGGTATTTAGGCTCATGTGGCTTGCCACGTCACTATAAAATTGGGGTGTTAATTCTTGAGAGTATTTAGGTCTCCAAATATTACGCCGGTGGTATTTTTAATCCCAAAATGTAATAAAAAGTATAAGTAATCTATTTCACATAATTCAGAGGCAATTTTGATCATTTTCCATTTTATTTATAACAACAGAGTTCGGGGGTAAGTGAAAACTGTGAAATATAGAAGCTTAATGCAACCTCAACACCATCTCCTTGTAATTTTCGATTATAAGCTTTAATATTTGCAACTTTCCTTAAAAGAGTTTTTGTATCAATTCTGTCAAGAAAAAATGTTCATTTCATATTGTGCAATGCTCTTGCTGGTTATTGATTGCCGGAAGTTAAGGATCTAATTTAGATGGTATGAACTTTTCACTTTCTCCTTGAGTTTCACAGTGAGCTTTCGTGGCAGTTTGAGGACTGATTTTAATAGAAATTTTATATCACGATTTAAATTATAATGAATGGCACTCACAGTAATTCTTTAATGGGAGGACTAACTACTAACTCAACTTAACCCGTCATGAGTAGTTGTGAAAATCAAATTATGAAAGAAACAACTAAAAGCAATTTAAAATTTGTTTGAATTTTCATAAACTCAATCAATAGTTAAAACATTGCAAAATTTAAGCACTTGAAACGGAAAGTGGAAGTACAAAACTTTAATTAGTCAATAATGAGGATGCAACCGCGAAAGCTAGAAAACACAAGCTAATAGTTTAATGTATGTGTCTTAAGACATGGACAAGAAGATGTAGAAGAATCCATGACAACCTAAAAGTAGTTCATTCTTGAATTTGAAGATCACACTTTCTTCAAGTCTCGCATCAATCGCCTGAATATGTCTTGCACTCTATAAGAAAAAACAAGTGCAATATTAATAAAGACCATATTATACTTGTAGGATTACATATTTAGTTTCAAGCATACAAAATTATATATATAATTTTATTCTTTCTATGCATAAATTTCTTAATTGTTATCTTTGGTGCTGATATATTTTAAATTAGTTTATACTTTTCAATGTTTAGATATATTATTTGATTTGGACTTCTAAACATATATGAATTTTTTTTATTTTGTAGTCGAACGGAAGTCACAGTTACACCAAGTAAAAATTTTTAACAATTTACTTTATAAATATCTTAATTTGTATCCAAATAACTATAGGCTTGAATTTTATCAGACTGAATATATTGATACTTCAATAAAAATATTTTATACTAATATAAAATTAACCGCGCAATTTGAAGATGGTTAGCTTAACACATGAAAATCAAATACAATATGATGGCTTTCTCTTCTAAAAGCAGGGGTGAAGACTCCATTGCGACATTTAGTAAGGAATTTGAGGAAATCAAGGTGCATCCTTCGTCATCTCAACCTATTTATATGCAATAGGTAGAAAAGATTCCGCCCTTCTAGCCTCGAGTAGTGGACTTCACATTTAGTTAACATTTATAATTTACAACTTTCAAACCTGTGACCTAGGTAAAAGTAAAAATATATTTGATCTCTTTTTTAATTATTGTGTAATTTTAAGAAAATCGAAAAAACTAATTAACTGAAATTGAAATAGAAGAATCAATTTTATCTTAGTGTATTTTGGTTTATAAATTTGATAAACCAACATATTAGGTTTAATTATTTTTAATGAAATACCAAATCAATCCAACATATGATTTTACAAAGAATATACTGTTATAATTAATTCTATCGTTGTTATAGGTTGAATGTTATTATACAAAAATAAATAATATAAAAAAATAATTACTTTTTGAAGAAAATCAGTCCATTATAAAAAAAAATATCACCCTAAAAAAAATCGCCGTCATAAAGAGATTTTAAAAAATAAAAATAACTTTAATTAAATGAGTTGATTAAAATAAATAAATAAATATGACATATGATATGAACACGTGGAAGTTGTGTAATGTTTTTGTTCTTATATAAACACCAAAACAATTTCAGTTACTTCACTCTTCTGGCTCTTCCGCCTAAGTGTGAAATGCACTGAGCTAAGCTACCTCTTCAATTTCTTCTACTCTCATTCTCACAGATTCAATCCACATTTTTCATACTTGTTGCTGAGGAGACGGAATTTCAGTATGGACGGAGGTGATACTACTCAAACGGTGAAAGACAATTCCGGCGACATCGCCGGCGGTGGTGAAACGACTCTAAGTTATATGTTCAAGTCAGCCTCGATTCCACCGTCGGATTATTCAAGTCCATCCTTTCCCAGCCGACTGGTATCCGTGCTGAGGAGCAGAAAGTTATCTATAACGGCCGGATCTTAAAGGACGATCAAACCCTAAAAAGCTGTGGTAATAATTAATTACTCTTATCTAAATATTTTTGTGCTACTTTATTAGTAATGCTGAATTATCTGTGTTTACTTTTTATTACTCACGTTTCTGATCAGTCAATCAAATGTACCTCAATTACGAACTTGTTAGGGTTTGTGATATTAATGTTGTAAACATTGTTCTTTATTTGGAGTTAAAAAATAATTATTTAAAATAATATTTGTATTTTTTGTAACTTGTATGTTATATAGAGGTGCATGTTAAATATATGAAAGTTCAGATTTTTTTGGGCTTTAACTACTGAATGTAGAGAACTGTACTTCAGTTGGCTTGGGATTGTATGCTAATGCATTTTCCTGTTCTGAGGAGTAATTTGAATTATTTTTTCATTGTGGAAAATAATGCATTGAGAACTGTTTTAACAAGAAAAAGAAATAATGCATATAGAAGTTGTTTCCTGAAATGGAGGAGAATCTGATTTTGGAAAATAATTTGTTGGAACTATTAGCGGGTGTTCAGATTGTGGATATTCTTAGAATGTAGAAGTATCTTCTTTGACGGTTGTGAAGGAGATATCCTGCAATTGAAGGGAGTAGTAATTTTTGAAAGCCTACATTCGACTCTTACGTACAATACTTGACGTCATGAGCTCATTCGCTCCATCTTGATAGGTAGGATTACGTTGACAAAATATTCCTTATTTTCTCGATGTAGAAGTGCAAATTTAATCTCTGTGTGCAAATTTAACCTCTTCGTTTGTGTTCTTTCCAGAATAGATGGAAATAATCGATAAGTTGTGTGTTAATGCATTAGGACCAAATTTCGATTCTAAAAGATTTAAAGTCTTGCTTATTTGGTACAATATACTCCCTAATCTGGCATGTTTTTTCTTGGGATAAGAAATAGGTAAAGGTCAATAAGTGGAAAAAAGTAATATAAAGGAATGATGCAATGGTATTGGGGTTTATTGGGCTTTTATTAGAGTATGAAGTTGTGTACGTGGATCTGCAATAGCAGGGAATCTGCATATTTGTTGCAATTTAGTTTCCATTTTACTACGTAGATTTGATTTAGCATGTATTCTCTTGTCTTTAACATGATGCTACTTAATGCCAATTATGATGATCTGATTCATGATTGATTACTTATAACCGCATAACATTCTGGATTGAGCTTTGGAATCTTATACTATCAAGATGCATGGAGCTTCTATTTTATCTGCTCTCTTGTTGCATGTTATCAGCTGTCAGAATAAGAATCACAGTAAATTTAATTTTAATATTTTTGGCGAGCAGGTCTGGAGGCAGACCACACAGTTCATCTTATTCGAGGTTCTGCCGCAACTACTTCTGCTAGTGCAACCAATGTTGTAAATCCAAATGCTAATCAGGATGCTCCCAGGGTTGCTGTTCCCACTACAGGGGGGCTGTTTGTCAGAGTTGGTGGAGGTCCACTCTTTTCTGAACTTGGAAGTAGAGGTGGTCTGTTTGGAGCTGGACTTCCAGATTTTGAGCAGGTCCAGCAACATGACTCCAACATGATGAGAGATATTGAATATGCCTCTAGTTCAGGATCTAGTGAATGACCCAGAAATCATCTGCAATTTTATCGTGAACAGTCCTCAAATGCGAGAGTATGTGAATCTTAATCCCGAGCTCCCACACATTTTCAATGACCCTGCTATATTTCTCCAGATATGGGAGGCTGCACGTAATGAACTCATGCATGAGACGATAAGAACTATTCAATGGTCATTGAGCCACACTGAATCGTCTCCTGATGAATTTAACATGCTAAGGCACATGTATGAGAATGTCGAAGAGCCATTTCTGAATGCAACAAGCATGGCTGTAGATACAAGAAATGATTCAGGGACAAACCCGTTCGTGGCTCTTTTGGGAGCCTAGGAACAAGGCAGAAACCGGTCAACTAACCCTCCAGCTACTGGTTCTGACACAACTGCTAATCCTCCTGGTCCGGATCCGAACCCAGTTTCAGATCCTTGGGCATCAGCTGACTGTAAGTTTCTAGCAAGTTTGTGGATCTAATTCTATTTGCCGCTAGATTTAACCTTGTTACTTCATCTCCTATCTTGTTCACCAGGGTCTTCTGCATCTTAAAAGAAACTTTTTATCTCTTTCCTATTTCTCGTTCTGGAGATTCTTTCATGCATCTTCACTGCTTGGGTGCCATGAAGTCATCATACTCATGCAATTTGTGCTTAGAACTTGAACATTTGAACACCTATTCTCTGTAGCTACTTTATTTCTTTGTTTTTCTCTGGAAAAAATATTTCAAAGTTTAGCATAATTTTTTCAGGATTTCTTAAAAACAATTTTATACTTTTAACTGTATCAGCTAATGTCTTATGTATGTAGCATTCATTATCTTGATTCCCCCCTTCCCCCTTTTTCAACTACTTTTGATAAGCGGGGTATTGTCTTTTTACTCTATTTTGCAGTTGGAGGTGCCCAAATGAATACCGCTCCCAGATCAAATGCTTCTAGGAATATTTGGGGACCCTCTCTTGGTGGTTTGGATGACATAGCAGATTTGCAGCGAATGCTCGGTGGCATACCTGGCGCCACTTCTGAAAATTAGTTAATAGGATACCCATCCATCTCACAGATATTGCAGCACATAGACAAGGTATTTATTTATTTAATTTGTACTAAAGCTTACAAACAGTCATCGAGTTTAAGGTTTTATTCTTTTTTCTCCTGGTTTTCTTTTTTTGTTGTTTGTGATGGAGAATTTCTTGTCAAGCTTCTCATTTCTTGAGTATCTTGGTGGTTAGATTATAGGGCTCGACCCCAACTCTCATCCTTGGGATGTGATGCGAAATCCAGAATTAATTCATCAGTTGATGTCCTCTGAGAGGATGCAGGTAAAGAATTTTTGCATGCTGTCTTTAAGTTTTGCTTGTTGGAATTGTAGAATGTGTAAGTGGTGCATGCAGTGTGGCAAAATCTAGAAAATCGGGTATCACTCTCTTTTTGATACATAAAGTTTAATGATAACTTAGAACTCAATGAGGTAAAAGTTATGTTAGAAATATGTTTAGAGCCTGTTTGGATTGGCTCTGGGCTTTTAGCTTATAAGCCAAAAGTCATACTATTTTTGATTTGCCACACTACATGCACCACTTAATAGCACTTTTTTGTTTTACACATATACTAAAAAAGTGCTTTAAAAATATTTTGGCTTAAAAATACATAAAATAAGTCAATCCAAACGGGCACTTAGTAGATTACTCGCAAACTTACACCTAGAGGTAAATAAGTTAAATTACAGATTAAAAAGGTAAAAGTATGACTCCTACCATTTTTTAATTTATTTGTTTGGTTTTGACTTGGCATGAAGTTATAGAAAGTAAAGAAGACCTTTGTGTGGTCTTAAACTAAAGATAGGTAGAATTCCATAACATCCTTTAATCTTATGGTCTTGTTGTCTTGAACATGTGAAAAGTTAGAACTAGAAGAGTTGTCATAACATGAAAAAGACATTCTTTTTTAAATAGACTAACAAAGAAAGTAGGACAAACAAAGTGAAATTCAGGGAGTATTAGAAATTAGCTTAGTAGAATTGGTGCAGAAAGAGCTTTTGCAAATTGATCTAGTGAGAACTTGAATCAAATTGTTTTAGAGAGATTGTCAAATATGCACCAAGAGGTCACAAGCTAATCAATTGAGTTTATAAAATGTAGTGTCTCTATGTGTTGAAAATGTAGATGCGGTCTTAGTGGCTTAGTGTAACCATTCTCATTAGTGGTCGTACTGATTACTGAAATGACACTAAATATTAATGTTGGGCATCTGTAAGGAAAAAGAATAAAAACATTTACTATAAAAAACAATGGGGAAAATAGCAACAGAAAAAATCAAACAAAAAAATATTGTCTATTTGTTATTCGTTTCTCTTATTGGACACTATTGAACTACTTTCAACCCTTGCAATTGCTTTTTTAGATTCAATTTCTTACTAATCTAAATAAGCTAAGCTCCGACAATGTTAATTTATCAAAAATAAACTTTACAGATTTTAGTGTCAAGTATGACATGATAGACACTGTCCTTCAGATTTTATTATTTCAATACAGAACTATACTTCAGATTTTATTATTTATGTGTCTACAGACTTTATTGTTCATTGAAACTGTTTTCATCATCATTTCATTAAATATTAGAATATTAATATGTCTATTTATTTCTCTTAAACATGATGTATGTTTTTATGTCAGATTACTGTTAAGTGTCACTGATTCATCAAACATGTTTTCTGAGCACAATATAAGACATTCCGGATTGAACATTTTTCATCTACATAATTTAAAAGTCATTATATTGCCCATTTGGAGGTACCAATGGTTTAAAAGAGAATCCTTTTGATATGTGTCTGGAAATAATTGTTTTTTTTTGAAAAAAAATTGCGTTTTATTCATCTTCAACAAAAAGACGCGTGATTTTATTCATATGTTTCTGGACATAGATCATGATGTGTGCATAATTCTTCGGGTATGTTCTTCCTTCATTCCTTTCTATTTTTTTACAATCCTTCTTTTTCCTTTTAGGAATATCTAGTACAACAAGGGCTATTTCCTTACCTTGATCAGTCGCAATCAAACCGGTATGTATGGACATATATCTATGGATTTTCACTTGGCTGGAGAATCTCACACCTCCTGATTAAGCTGATATGATGATATGCATCTCCTTGTCTCATTATTACTCATTCTTTCTTGTCCTACAAGTCACCAAAGGAAAAAGAAATATTACTTAGATTCATATTTCACTTGCCAAAAAATAGTCTAAGCCTTTATAATTAGGTTGGATAAAAGATAAACTTGTGAGTGGCTCGAGATTTTTACTCTGATTATTTGGATCAATGGGGTAATTTTCTGCCTTGCGTCTATCACTTCTAACAAAGTATCTTTTCCGCATGTAGAGAACAAGATCAGGACGAAGCTGACGAAACAGGTAATATCATTCTATATATTTCCCAATTTGATATCCTTGTAACTGTAAATATACCCTTAGGTTTGGAGGGAATGATCTCTTGATTTAGTAGCAAATAAATCCTCTTACAATATTTTCCAAATGTTACTTAAGTCTAGTATTTTAATGCAAAACTTGCCTACTAGGAGCAATACACTTTATATTTTTGTGATGCACATTATTTGTGATGTTTCATATAAATGGACAACTTCTTTGTATTGTTACATGGTGTATGAAATTTGAGATTTTACAAGGGCGACAGAACTGATTTGGATTTATACCTGTTAGGAGTTTATTTTTTTGTTAAAAATATTGATTGAAATTTATAGGTTGAGGATGCGGGTTTGGTGGGGATATAGAAGACACAAATTCAGATAAAATATATAAATTTCAGAAATGAACTGTACAAAAGAGTGATATTAGTATGAAAATAACGAGATGAGATATAAATTTGTATTCGGAAAAGGTGGTTTATTGTGGGGATCTGTATAATACTATTTTACACTTATGAATAAGTTGAAGAAAGGTTGGATGATGAATGCTTATTTTAGATGATACTCTTGGTTAAATTAGCGAGAAAGTCAACTGAGGTTGGAACTGTGACGAAGAACTCTGGTTTTAGCTTTTTATTTAGGTTAATTAGAAATAAAACAAACTACCTATAAAAAGTAGAAATTTGACAAACTATGTTCACTGCAAGTTATAATAAGATCACTCGAATGAGATCACCAAATGAGATAGTGGTGCCCAAATGTAGAGAGTGGAAATATTGGCTCTCATATTTGAGGACAATGATATGATTGATGAAGATGTGACACAAGCTAAAAGAGGATTGTGGAAACGGAGGAGTGCTAAGACAGTTGTCTTATACGTGAACGCTTAACAAAGTGAAACACAAGTTGTATGCAATGGCAGCAAGATCTGAGATGTTATATGGAGTGATTGCGAGTAATGTAAATCCATGTGTATCCACAGGATAAATTTCCTAAAAATTGCATGGATATATAGTCATACGGGGACATTAAGATTAGAATTATCACATCTGACCCAAAAAAACACATGATAAGATGAGAGTCTGGCTTTCTATGTCCTATGTAGACCTCCACATGCATTGGTCAGTATGTGCGAAAACATGATGATTGAAGGTGATAAAAGAAGAGAGGGATAGAAAGTTGTATTCGAGAGACTTGTAGATCTCGACATCAATATGAATTTAATGTCATATCATAATACAATAGAATCAAAGAATCTATACATGAGTTACTCTTTTATCAGGTCAAGTCTTTGGTAGGAATCTCTTTTTGTTGTTGGATACTTGTTCGTTCGACTAACGGGATTAAGAGAGTATAGTTCTAGGCAAAAATCTTAGTGTTTATTTTTTAGAGTTAGGGAATCTAATATTTGTGGGTGATTTTAACTCACATCAACTGTGGGTGACTTTAATAATTGTAGAATATCAGAACGGGGCAATGGAAGTGGCGAGGAACGTGGTTGGTAGTACTATAGAGAGGGCAAGTTTGCATGAATTCCCCGGATTAAATAATTGTTAGTTTATTCATATCGTTCTCATTCTCTCTCTATATATCTCGGACTTAACTCGGATGCTCATATTCCTGTTGACATCTTATTGCAGTAGGCCCAGAGGAGTTATATGCCATGTTGTTTCTCCAGGTCGTTAGACTACATCGGATTCTTCGACAGTGAATGGCGTCCATACTAATTCTTCAGTGGGAGGACTAACTACTAACTCAACTTAACCCGTCATGAGTTGTTATGAATATCAAATTATGAAAGAAACAACTAAAAGCAATTTAAAATTTGGTTGAGTTTTCATAAACTCAATCAATAGTTAAAATATTGCAAAATTTAAGCACTTGAAACAGAAAGTGGAAGTACAAAACTTTAATTAGTCAATAACGAGGATGCAACCGCAAAAGCTAGAAAACACAAGCTAATAGTTTAATGTATGTGTCTTAAGATATGGATAAGAAGATGTCAGAAGAATCCATGACAACCTTAAAAGTAGTTCATCCTTGAATTTGAAGATCACGTTTCCTTCAAGTGAGGTCTAGTATCAATCGTCTGAATATATCTTGCACTCTATAAGAAAAAAGCAAGTGAAATATCAATAAAGATCATATTATACTTGTAGGATTACATATCTAGTTTCAAGCATACGTAATTATAATATAATATTAGTATAACTTACATAAATCCTATATTATAAGATTAAAATTATATTATATCCTTACTCTTTTCAATATGTTGCGCTAAAACAGGAAATAAATCTGAAAATCTAATCATATTTCATAAATTACGCTTAAGTATCTTCTTTATCAATTAGATAAATGTTAATCCTAACAAAACAGAGAAATTTAAAATTCAAATTCCTTCCCTTTTCTTTGTTAAAGAAACCTTTCAAAGTGATGAAGAGATACAATGTTTTGATATGTGCAATTGTGTGTGTTGAAGATAGAAAAAGGGACCATTCTCTTAACGTATTGTCACGACCCAAATTTGAGTCGCGACTGGCACCGACACTTACCCTCCTATGTGAGCAAACCAACCAATCTAAACCTTAACATTTCAATACAATATCGACAGAAA